TTTTTTTTTTTTTTTTTTTTGCTTCAATGTGTTTAAGAAAATTAAGTGGAGTATGAAAAAGAGAAGTAGGCAGAATTTGTATAGGCTGTGTTGATAAAATGGGAAGCTATAATCTGTTAATAAATCTTACATCCTAACACTTAAAGTGTATGTGGAAAGAGAATGAAAGCATCAGAGCCCTGAAAACTAAACTGTGCCACATGCTGATCAAACTTCTAGTAATTAAAAAGGAGAACATTGGTCAGTGTATTTTGTATTTGTTCTCTGCCAAGTGTTAATGAAAGCTTTGAAAAATATTTCAACAAGCTTAGCAACAATTTTCTTTCTTTTTTTATTGCTGCTTTGTTCAGAGTACATAATGTTTACGTCACTCGTGAGGAGCTGGTACAAGCATATGATACATCTTCATTCCTTTTTCAGCCCCTTTCCTCCTTTCCTTCCTTTCTCCCTCCATCTCTGAGTTGATGGAGTTCTAAACCTTAAAACAGTCTAATTTTTATGTAAGAGAATAATGAGGAAATGCAATTACCTCAGATAAGAAAGTTTAGTGTCAAAGAACTTTCAGTTATGAAAGCTGGCTCTTATGTTGTCCTCATCAGAGTTTATAATGTCAAAAAACTTGTGTCAAAGCACCTTGTAATTTAAGAAATATGGGGTTGTAGTGCACTGTAGGATGATACACCAACAGGGAACCCAGGACTTGGTGTGTGTTCTTGAAATGCCCTGGTAGAATGAATATTTGTGAGATATACAGATTTGCTTCAACTTACTCCATCTCTAGCTACTAAGACCAAACTTTAAAAAAATCTTTATGTAGCCTACTTGTATAGTCATACTTTTTATATATTCAGTCTTAATCTATAAGGTTATAGAAACCAAATCTAGAAGAAACCTTGTTCACTGCCTAATTTTGAAGTTTTTCAAATTCTCATGGGGCTCATAACAAAATTGTCTACTTTTTGAATCTTAAAAGGCAAACTCTAAAACACATCTTTACTGTATTAATCCTTTTACACACATGTTCAGTGAAACAAGATCAATATTGTTAAGCTGACCAAAATGGAAATTCCAGAGCCTGTACACTACTTGAACTCACGGCATAATGGTACACATTTCTGTAAATTTATGCAGCATGTAATTTAGTTTCCTTCCTTTTAGGTCTTTGGACACCCATCTTGCCTTTTAGTATGTGTTAAATGCATTGTTTCAGCTTCCAGAGAACTTTCTTTGGAGATGTGGGTCCAGTTAGGAAGTACATAATACTAGACTTGCCCTTTTATTACTTGGCATGTTTTTTTCCAAAACTTTATCATTATTATTATTATCATTGTTGTTGTTATTTTGTCTTTACACAGTCCTAGGGATGGAACCTAGGTGTTTGAGCAAATTAGACACCTACTACTGAGCTAATCCCCACCCAAAAAGTAAACTGCTTTTGGCTTTCTACATCACACCATGGGTAATGATATGTGAGTCTGTGCCAAATAGTAATAAGAACGACCTTTCCAACTTCTTCCAGGCCAAGAGAAGTATCTGGAAAGATCTGTGCTAATGGTGAAAACATATAGAGGGTCAGGATGAAGCAGTGATCTGTCAGCTGAAAAGCTGATGATGCCATGTGATGATATGAGTAAGTATTTTAATTGTAGAGACAGAAATCGGCTGAGATTTGGATGGGGAAACAGCTAAAAACATGTTAGTACCAAGTTCAAGGGGGTTTTATTGCATACAAAGCATGGTCTTTGACACTCGACACATCAATTTGTATTTACACTGAAAAAAAATGAGAAGTAAGATGAAATACACCATGAAAGCCCAGAATTCAGATTTAAGCCCATGATGTAACTTCTGGGCCAACTGTGGGACTCCTGATCTCTTGAAGACCGTTCTTTGTGGATTGCAATGGTTACTGACATCCATTTGTGGAGTTGTAGGTGATGTGAGAAAGCTCACAAACTAGACAAGAGTGCAACGGAATCTGCTACTGTGTGTTTGTCCTAGTCCTCAGCTAACTGTGCTGACAAGTTTCAGCAGTTGTGATGTGGCAGGTCATAACCTGCAAGTCTTCTCGGGCTACTCATGGTATGCTGAACTGTAGCTGAATGCTTACAGACGTTCCTGCTCAGCCCAGCTGGAATTCAAATAGTGACAATATTGAAAGATGCTACACTAATTAGGACCTACTGAAGCTTTCCCTTTGCTGGTCCTACTGCAACTATTGTAATAATATTTATTGAAGTTCACAGTCTTTCACTTGTACAGATTGAAATACTTTCTTGAAAGATCCAACATATTGATGTCAGCTGTATTTATTAAAGATATAACATTAATATGCCGCACTGGTATATTTGACCTAATATATGATGGGTAGATAAAATGAGAATTGTGTAATATGATGCTTTCAAATATCAATATTTTAAAACTTAAGTCTTCAGAGTTTTGGGGGTTTAAAATATAGAAATCTGTTTCATGAAACAAGTGATGTAATTTTTCTTAGAAATACACCTGCATGTTTGCCTTTCTGTTATATCTTTTCACATAGATACAATTTGGTATCAGATTATCATAAGATTAACTGTGAATACAAAGTACCTTAGCCAGACTGGGTCTGCTTTGCCTACAATTTACATATATAATAGAAAAGCTTATGTTGTCTTTTCAAGAGATTTAGCATTTTGTCCTCAACTATGGTCAGAGCTTCTACTTCCAAAGGCAAAAGTCTCATATTCAGAGTTAGTCTCTTACGGTTTAGAATTCTGCTAGTTTTGGCATTATACATGCAACATTAGAATTTAAGGACAGAATTTAGGGAGAAAAAGGGAAAAAGGCACCTGGTTCAATCAGGTACTGTTGCTCAATTCTGAAGTGTTTGCATTGTGTTTCTTCTTGAAGTGAAGCAATATGGTCTTAATTTTTTGAGATAAGAGTTTTTAAATAGCACACTACCAGAAAGTTGAACATTGGTATTGATTTTAAACTGTTTTCTTTGTTCAGTTGATAATTTCAATAACAAGTTTTTAGTGATAAATACATTATTTGGCTGCTGAATTCTGTTACAGTTTTTTTTATTCTGTTGTTATCCATTGCATTATATACATCATCACAAATTAATATGAAGGTGAATAGATGTTGCATATCAAAATTTGTGAATTTGAATTACATTTTAGTGTTTTGCAAAAATGTTTATTTTTATATTATCTGATTTTAAAGTAGATAATTAGATTTCTTTGTGAGTAGTAGTGCCATTGAATGAGTGGTATGAAACAGTATTACTTGACATATTGAACTTTCTCAGGTTTATCTGAATTGATGGTAGTTGAACAAAATCCAAACTAATAGTACGTAATAGTTTTTTTAAAAAACAAGAAAGTTTATTTCCTATAATAGCATAGTGTTGTTTGCATGCAAAAGTGTCTTGTGCTGTGTGTATGTGTGTGTGCGTATGCATGTGTGTATATGTGTGTGCGTATGCATGTGTGCATGTGTGTGTGTGTGTGTGTGTGTGTGTGTGTGTGAGGCATGGCATCCAACTTTGTATTTGCTAGTTATAGTAACAGCAGAGCTTCGTAATCCTGGGCACTAGAATTGTATTTACCATAGACAATAAAAGCTGGAAAAGATTAAATAAAACTGTAAAACATGGCTTGATGGCTTCTGTCTTATTACAGTGTTAATATGCACAAGTTTCTTTTTATGCATTATATTATTACAGTCTGGCAGGTCATATAGGACACATCAAACTAACTCAGTATTTCTTACAGTGAAAACAGGACTATAGAAGCTGTAAAGGAATTTAGAAGAAAACTCCTGGTGCTAGATAATTCATCAGATTTCATTACTTGATATTTATAATAGGGATGTGATTTTATTCTTTCAAGAAATATATTGAATGCTACCTTAGTGTTTCTTCTTACACTGTGTTACAATGTTGACTGTAATCTTTTCTCACTATCATTTAATCCACAAAAGTAGTCTTACTAATAATCTTTTGTGGTTACTGTTTCTTAGCTTCAATTGCTTGCTTTATGCAAGTGTATTAATATAGATGATCTCATACTACTTTTATACAGTGTATAATGGAATAAAAGTATGCTTAAAGCATTACTTTTTTATTTCATTGGTGAAGGTAAGTGTACAGTGATCCTGTGGAAATAAATGCCCTATAACAAAATAATGTGAATGTGAAACACAAATCTCTTGAAACCCCTAACATATATGTCAGTCAGTATTAACTCCTTAGTGATACGTACTGTACAAATGTTATTGTTTGCAAATCCTTGCTAACAGCAGCTTTGGTAGAGTTTTATAGCATGCATGTGAGTAGAGGGAGTATGGGGGTATTTAGTATATTCATAAATATTATGTAGATAATTATCTTTCAGATTTAAGAGGCACCTACCCTAAAGCTATGAATATTTTTGATTTTCTAAATTACTTTAGGAATAGAGTCAAAGATCAATAGAGGTTCTCTCTCTCTCTCTCTTTTCCCCTCTCCTACCCTCCCTTTTCTCTCCTGTCCTCTCTTCTCACCTTAATGAAATAGGTGAATTTTTAGGTGAATATTTATAATTTATAATTATTTATAACTTAAATAAGTGAAAATTTATAATTTTGGACCCATATAAAGTTAGTTTCCATTTTCAAATATAATTTGTTTCCTAAGTTCAACACAGAGCTATTATGATTGTGACTTGATGGGGTGGCACACTATAGAAATAACAGATGTCACTAGAAATCCACATTATTCTTAATACTGGCCTTACTTGTTTCACCTTATAAGGTTGTAAAGCTTTGGGGTACAGCCTGGGGACTGCTGTCCCCACCAGCATGACTACTGAGACAGACCAGCTGGTACAGTAGCTGTGATGGAGTTGGGCTTCTGGGATGAGCAACTGACAGTCCTGCAACCCCCGGGAATGGAAGTTGGGTGGGAGCAGGGGGATGGAGGCCAGTGGAGACCACAGGCTTTGTAGAGGGAAAACCATGCTACATACCCCTCTTGAAATCGCTCTTGTGAGGATGGGTAATCCTTGACAATGGACTGAAACAGCAACCTTGGAGATGATCCATTTAATTCCATCATGTTAGTCTACAGCAAGAGAAAAATTTTCATTTAAAGATGGGTTGAGAAAAGAATGCAAATTAGCATAGTGGGCTGTTACCAGCCCTCTGTCGAGGTGAAGTACAATACATCATACTCCACAATGCAGTAATGATTTGTGTTTTTGTTTTAGATGTACATGTGTATAACAAAATACACATAAATTCATGTGTCCTTGTGTCACAATGATAGTTGACATTTTATTTTTATTGTAGACATTTTTTAATTGATGTTCTCTATTGCCGTACTTAATGAAAGGGCATGGAGTGAAAGGAAGAAGGGACAAAAATTACCCCTTAAAACTAGACAAATCCAAAGGTTCTTTATTGCATGCACTCACTTGTCCTTTTCTCTTTGGTGCTGTGTTCTTCTGAAGGCTCTGCTCAGAATTCCCAAAGAAATTAAGGCAGCAGTTAGCCTACTTCTCAAAGTGACTAATTTACATTTAAAGATAGGATCACTGTATCTCAGAATTGTGTAAATACAAAACCTTAACTTTGTCTTACTCTTTGGTGGGTTTGAACAGTTAATAGCAAACCTCAAAGCTTCACTTGCGTTTCAGAACACAGCATTGCGGTCACTAAGCCTTCGATTCACATGCAGCCCTACTCTGCAGTGCTTGTGTGTGCTGGGCAAGTCTTTCAGCTGGCAAGGCTATGTGTTCCTCAATCACAAAACGGGTACTATTGTATGGGACTCACAGGGTGTCAGTGAAGTAAGATACACAGTGCACAAAATGAGCGCTAGGGGTGTCATTCTGAAGTGGAGAGGATTTTGTCATTCTGCTATTTTGTGGTTATTGCTCCTGATTTCTGCTGTCTTCTTTCATACAGTGGAGGCTGTGAGTCTCTTAGCAATTCATAGATTTGTGTGATTCATCGATTGTTTGGCTGCATTAAATACTGTTCTTTTGGTTTGGAAACTGCTGAATTTCTTTGCTTTTTTTTTAATGTATGTGGTACAGGGTCTTACTATGCAGCTCAGACTCTTAGTGATCCCCTTGTTTTCTGCCTCCCCAGTGATGGGATTACAGGTGTGTGCCACCACGCCCAGACTCAGTGCAGGCTCAGCACACCTGGGGGTGGGGCCAGCACAGCATGTGGTGCCAGGGATCAAACCCTAGTCCCTGCATTTGCCTAAGCAGGCATTCAGTCCATTGAGCTTGCTCACCTGCCCTCTATTGAATTTCTGAGATTGGATAATAAGCAAGCATTCACCTGTTTTATGTTTTGTGTTATGACATGACCCCTGTGGCACAAGGATACATAAGACAAAATGTATCTGGCTAATATATAGATATAAACAATAAAGCTCTGCTGCCCTCACTTGCTGGGCCCCACCTCTCAGGTTTGTAGTTTATTTTCTGTCACCCCAATCCAGTGTCTGGCCTTTTGCACATCCGGAAACTTGATCTGGACAGTTCATCTAGAGTTCACCAACATGCAGAGACTGACTCACACCAGACTAACTGACAAGAGAATCATTTACCAGCTAGTCTGCCAATTTTGAGTATGCAATAGCTATAGCCCAGTCACAATAACAGACATCTGTCTTTTTCATTCAAGTTGGATTTAATTATGTATCAGAAAGATGCCTGCGAGTTTAAAATAAGAGCAAAGATTAGTGATATTCTTGAAAAGCATTTCCAATAAAAAAGCAGCTGAACAATTTTCTGTCCCTGTAGATATTGGCCCTGCTAATTAGCACTTGTGTTTAAGAACATCACTATTGCAGGGGCAAAGCCTTAGGTTCAAATACTCCTCTACTACTCTCTACTTGTCTTTCACTTCATAATTAGCATTTAACCAGCACTCTGCCCACTTGGGACAGCTTCAAGTAAGGGCACAGAGTGAGACTTTCAGGTTTGTTTACTTTCTTTTAGAATTGGTCAGCACCATCATTACTTCCTTGCATGAAAATTATGATGTAGAAATGTCTCTTACCTAGTGAATATGAGAGAAGGAGGGTGGTAGGAAGGGCTGCAGTGCTGTCCAGGTTGGAGGTACTTAGGAGGTATCCAGTTGGAAAGCTGCAACATGGCATTGCAGTTGTACAGTTCCAGATAGAGTCATAGCAAGATAGAGGTACAAGATTTGACAATTGGCAAATCGTAGCCAAAACCAAGAAAGGAGATGCCATCATTCAGGCAGTATATATGGTTAAAGAAGAAAATGGCAGCAGCACAGAGCCAAAGCAGTACTCCATAGCATGGGTAGCAAGAGAGGAATACTGATAGGAGAGAAGTGGAGTTTCATAAGATCCAAGAAGACACATGGAGAAGTTAGGCTCAGAAAAGAATTTATGGATGTGGTAATCCTTTATCAGTTAATGCAAAAGAGGGCTATAAAGATTGGGATACAAAGTCTGGGTGTTAGTGAGGGTACATTTAAGCTATAGAAATAGTAAAGACCACTGAAGGAATGTCATGGTTAAGAAATGTAGGCTGTAGCTTTAGGCAAAAGAATAGAAATAGAAAAAAGGAAGAAAAGAAATTTCTTGAAGACACTAGATGAAGCAAGCTCCATGGAGAAACTGAAGTGAAAGGAAGGGAGGGTCTAGAGAAAAAGCATCTATGATTAGGAAAACTGAAGACAGGTCCTCAGCCAGGAGGAGAGCCATCATGCTAGGCCTAACGCAAATGATGGATCATTGAGTTACAGGAAGTATGTAGAGGTTGTGTGAAGAAACAAAATTTGGTAGGTGAGAACACAGGTAATAGGTCTGGTTAGCAAGGTTTAGTGGGCAGTATTCTAAAAAGATGGACTCACATGGCATTTGAGGAATAATATCAAGAAGCATTAGGGAGCCAGGACCACCTCTGCCCCTTTTCTCGATAATGAGTGTAGTGGCACATGGAGTCTACTCGGGAAAGGACTGAGGGAAAGTTCACAGGGGCATTGCTGGAAGCGTTGGTCAAAGAAACCAAAGCTTCCTGTAGAGAGAATTATTTCTCCAGGATGCAGGTAAAGGAATATAAGAAGTCAGGAGAGGGTTACAAATCTGGGTGTGGGAAGAAAACAAACAGGGTGAAGTTACAAAGATAATAGTTTACTTACCAATAAATTTACCCAGTGACGGCATAGTCAATTATGGAGCCAAAAGCTTTTAAAAGATTGTAGGATGGAAATAATTGATAGTGCAGAGGGAATTTTCACAACACATTTTCTTTCATTTCAGACAGATTGTGCTTTCAGATATATGGAGTCAGAAAAAGGGAAATAAATTGGTTTCAGGCAGTAATTTGAGAATTTTTGTGATAGTCTTTAAGTCATGGATGTAAACTCATTGACATTCTCGAAAGAGCTGTGTTTGGCCTTGTCTCTTTTTGAATCCAAGAGGGTTTGCGACAATTTTGAGCAAAAGAAAAAAAGAATGGACAGAAAGGTGGCATGCTTTCTGAGACTAGAGCCTGACAGACCACACATAGCCACGTGTGTCTCTTGAGCCCTGAGCTGAGGTATGGAGAGGTGACTTCTCTGAGCCTGCGTGCTGTGAAAATCACATGGAGAACTGAATCATGTTTAAGGCCATAAAAAGGACAG